ACCACCCTATAATGATAAAAATCCACCCAGTGTTTTTTTTTTAATCTGGTTAAATGTTTTCCCCTTTCTCAAATCGAGCAGATCTCAGATGCCTGTCTGTGTGACGTCACACAGACAGGCCCCTCCCACGATAGTTTGATTGACAGTAGTGTTTCAGCACAGACTGGACTGGCGTCTTACCTTAGCTCCGCCCTGAGTGACTGTCATCAGTCCGCCATTGTTTCACCGCCGGAGCAGATGTAGACAAGAATGACTCCTGAGCGATTGAGGTGTTCTGTTGTTGGATGTAATAATGAACATAGCAGTCCTCATTTACTCCCGACATCTGAGCCGCTGAAGACGCAGTGGATTACGTTTGTTTCTGAAGGGAATGCGCCACCGATCTACATAAATGCGTCTATGTTTGCGCGAATCATTTATGATCCAGTCTCATCTACAGAAGTGAGTATAATGTTTTGTAATGAATCTTTGCAAATCGCCTTTCCTAATAATGTGCTAATTAGCAAGTTTCACGATGAATGCGGCTAAAGTAAACAGTCTCTCTGAGAGCAGCTCGGAAGAGAGGGGCGGGGTCAGCAGAGCTCATTAACATTTAAAGGAAAATGCTACAAAAACGGCTTGATCTGAAAAAGCTGTTTTTGACAGGGTAAAAAAGGTGTTGGTAACGCTTTAGATTACAACCCGCAATGTACTGCGTAAGTAAACAGAATTTACAGCATAACTTTTTTGTAATTACAGTGTACATATTCAGTACCTCCGTGTAGGTATAAGGTAGCAATATGCGACGTTTGGAGAATAAAGGAGTAATAAGCTGTAAAATTACAAATTATTTCTACTGTAAGTATTTTGAAACTAAGAGGTACCTATTCTAATATTACAGGGTATGTATGACCTCTTATATTTGCAAGCGATTAAGCAAAAACATACACTGTGTACTTATTTATAGCCTACACATATAAAACACGCTGGTAATTGTTGCAGTCCCAACAGTCTCAACCGAGTGTTTGGGCTGAAACAATTACCAGCGTGTTTGAAACAAGCACCACTGGCTTGATGTGACCCAATTTGCATTGATATCAGTAATAACCCGATGTTGCTGGGTTATGAATGTGGAGGACGTGAATGAGAGCATGCAGCAAGTCATGTGAGTTCAAACGTCGTGAGTGACTGCGGTGCTTAAGATGGGAACATGTGTGGAATAGGAGAAAACAAACCGAAGCGCAGATGAGGGACAACTTTGAAACTGTCTGGA